TATCTTTCCAACGCATTTTGCATCGCCTCAATAGGATATCGGAATACAAAGTTATGATAAAAACACTGAAGGAAGGTACAGCTGCCTGTTTAAAACAAGAAATTCCGTTACATAGTCCGTTATATTGAGACCTCTTTTTGGCATAGAATGTGATCCAATTGGACAATGATGTCTGAATCAAAATTCTAGCCAGATGAGTTAGATTTCCAACGCATTTTGAATCGCCCAAATCGGACATCAAAATACAAAGTTATGATAAAAATACTGAAAAAAGGTGCAGCTGCCTGTTTAAAACAAAACATTCCGTTACATAGTCCGTTATATTGGGACATATTTTTGGCATAGAAAGTGATCGAATTGGAGAATGATGTCTGAATCAAAGTTGTAGCCAAATGGGTTAGCTTTCCAGCACATTTTGAATCGCCTCAATCGAACATCGAAATACAAAGTTATGATAAAAACACTGAATGAAGGTGCAGCTGCCTGTTTAAAACAAGAAATTCCGTTACATAATCCGTTAAAACAACAAATTCCGTTAGTTTTTCCGTTAAATCAACAAATTCCGTTAAATAGACACTTTTTATATATAGAAAGTGGTTNTTCAGCTGCCTGTTTAAAACAAGAAATTCCGTTACATAATCCGTTAAAACAACAAATTCCGTTAGTTTCTCCGTTAAACCAACAAATTCCGTTAAATAGGCACTTTTTATATATAGAAAAATATTAAATATCATATTAAAGAGAATTATTTTTTTAATGATTTTAATCCTACTATAATTCAAGTATTTCAATATTACTTTATTTTTCATTTTTCATTTTTCAATTTTCAATATATAATAAATACTTCAAAAAATCTTGTCATATATGAATTTCGTGTTATTAATTCTCAATTAGTTAACATTTATATTAATCTAAACTCAATGAATCCTGACTTAATGAATTTAGAGTTACTATAGATGAAAATATTTCTATTTATGTATTTAGAAATTTTAATGGGTGCTTAAAATAATGTATTGGCAATTAATTCTTATGTATCAAATGTAATATAAAAATATTGTTCATTTGTAGTATTTTATCATAAAAAAAATTGAATCATAGAAATTGAGATTTAAGAGGACAATTTTCTTCTTAAATTTTATTTTTCTTTAGTTCGTTTGAGACTCATCAAATTTTCCCAACAAATTGGTATCACATATTACTTTTACATCACTTATAAAGTATTTCATAATAACATGCAATGCACATTCAACTCTGACTACTATATACAAACACGGTTAATATTAAATGTATGCAATTCTTTAAAATCTAGTTAATCTCTTTTCGCTTGTCTCTCCTACACCAAACCCTAATATTTGTACCAGCAATTGAATTGATTGTCGGGATGCTAACGATAGCTAGCCTTTTTTCTGTTTGGTAATTTTGATGTTAACAGTTGTTGTTTTAGTCCCCCTTTGGCCTTCATAATTTCAAATTATAATTTTTTGAATATTAGTTTTTTGGAGTGTATACTTGAAAAACAAGAAAAAGTTTTTGGTTTCGTATAATATTATTTTATGTAAGATTGTTTAATTGAGAGAGAGAATTATTTTTTTGGAATAATGGGGCAAAGTGAGTAGGTACTTGGTAACATGCAAGAGAAAAGATATATGTACAGAAAAAGCAATTACAGAAACTTTCCAGAAATATTAATTTCCAAAAATATCCTCCATCCATAATTTACAACTAGAAGCCATCATAAGTATATAAAAACGCCAA